ACTTACCCTCTTTAGTGCCCGAGTAGTCCAACATATTGGCGTTCCAGACGCCCACACCTCTCAGCTCCCTATACTTGGCTAACCCAACCTTCATACCCAGGCTCCCGGACGTGTCGTACCAGATCTGATGGGTAACGTTGGCCGAGTCCTATCAAAACACGCATAGTGTAAAATATTCATGTACAGTAATTTATATACAAGTAAATACACTACAGTAATGCCTGGCTATAAGGGACACAGATGTTCCTGTGGCGTGGGTGGGAGTGAGTTTACAAATTCTTATCACCTAAATCTGTGTCCCTTATATCGGGGGCAATACTGTATAGTTTTAACAAATGGTCCGTGCATTGAAATAGGCGTAACGGGTGGTCGAGTGCTCGTCATACCAGTCGCCGTAAATGTCCACCAGTTGTTTGATCTCAACGTACGGCACCTGAACACCGGCGGCATCGCTACAGCTAACGTTACGGAAGGGCACCTCTTTGATAAAGCAGGTGCGGTCGGGACCGGTGCGCACGCACTGATAGTCGTAGCCGTACCATGGCAGGCCCAGCACCATTTTATCAGGGTCAACGCCCAGCTTCAAGTACGCCATGAGCCCACCCGCCGTCCAAAACAGGTCAGAGTTGTCCTGAGCCAGACAGTCCGTGTCAAACACCTGACTCCGTTCGTCGTACGCCATCACAAATAAAAAATCCGACACATCGGCCAACGCTGTAAAGTTATAGTTACGGCCGTCTATACCGGTGCCTATGATCGAGATCAATTATTAAGAATTATTTTTTAAGACAACTAGGTGCATTAATTTGGATATGTGCTTTGTATGCATACCATTGACATTGTATGGACTCCATGGCACGTCAAACGTGACCTGTGAGTTGGGCATCGCCTGGTGGAACCGGTCGCGCACTTTGCCCATAAACCGGGTCAGCGCATCCACTTCGGGACTCCCGTCGTTGATATCGTACTCCACATCAGTGATTGTTACAATGCATAATCTATCAATCACAAACCAATGTTTAATATAAAAAAATAATTATTAAAATCGGGCTTGTAGTTTTATTTTTATGATTTGACAAACTAAAAAGGAATATATCCCCATAGCAAATGGCCTAGGCTATTTTAATTGGTATGTACATGTTCAGTACGGTTCATAGATTAATTTACCGTCGAGATAATCTGCCAATGGCCACAAATGACCGAATTATGGACAAAAATCCAAATAAATACATAGCATTCAATTGAATTCAAGTAACGTTAAAAGGGTAAAGTTCAATGTTAATGGGTGAAATGCCAAAAATTTTATATTTAAACATTTTATTGTTTTTAAATTTGCCAAATTAATTATCATTGTAAGCATAATTAAAATTGATATAAATGATGTTCAGTAATTACGTTATTCACTATAAAAAACGCACATAACTGATACTAAATTTCTTAATTTTGATATAACTTTTCTCGATCATATCAGATTTGAGAAATTCCTTCGGATTTCAATTCTACTCATCCATATCTTTCTAACGGTATATAATATGATATGGTTATTTATAAAATAAAAGATTTGACTTTCAGATTTTTTCCGATAAAAGTGGCCACTGCGGCCAAACCCGAAGTCACTTGACCATATGAAGTATACCACTAGACTTTGTAGAACAAGTACTTTCAATTTATAACAATAACTCTCGGGTGCACGCTATCACACTTTTGAACATTGTCTTTTTAAAAAGTTGTGATAAATGGTGATTCACACATAGCACAGGGCCATTCACCACAAATCTATGCATTAGATGCTATGTATTTATTTTGAATTTTGTCCATAATTTGGTCATTTCTGGCCATTGGCAGATTATCTCAACGGTAAATTAATCTATGAACCGTACTGAACATGTACATACCAATTAAAATAGCCTAGGCCATTTGCTATGGGGATATACTTCTTTTAAGGCTATTTCAATGCTTATCCTATGTGCTACTAGAAAGTCTATGGCAATTCTAACAGTTAATGAATTGCTAGGTGCCTTTTGGTTTGGATTCAAACATATTAATAGGCTGTTGGAAAAAATTAACGTCTATATGCTTTTTACAAAATCTAATCATTTAATATAAAGGGGTAGTCAAGGTATCTCGCACACGCGGTTTGGTCGATTACTCTTGAACTACAAGAGATAATCCAATTCTGTCAAAAGCATTTAGGAGCCCCATATACGCTAGTTCTTTTGACTATTTAACTTTTAGATTTTGGTCACGTGGTATGCAAAATATGGGACAATTCCAAAA